TCCCTGGTATCGCGCAGAAGATCGCGATTAAAAAACAACAACAATAGAAATACGTTTTCAACAATTTCCAGCCTCACCCGGGGGCGGAAATGAGCCTTCAACTAAGTGTTGTAGATGAGCCTTCAACTAAGCGTTGTAGATGATAAAATCGAGTCAATCACCACTGCAAATTATCACTATTAATATAAATTCAGTTACAACATTTTACAAGCTGAAACAGCAGTTATCACGAGAAAACTCGCACGCACATTGCGAGCGTACCCCATGTTCATCGGCGGTACAGCGTTTGGTGCGCGCTCCATTCACGAAATGTTTCGAGCGAAGTCGAGAGGATGGCGTTGAGAAGACGCCTTTTCGGTTTACGGACGCAATCCACTGCCGCCGGAGACAGGGGTCCTGTGGAAAGCGTGGAGCTCAAAGACATTGCAGCCGCTCTCGCCTTGCCGGATTCCTTGCAAGCTACATATGTCCTCGGACAGTATTCTATGCTTTCTGTTTTTATTCGTGCACCCTATGACCGAGCAATGGTGTCCCGATGACCGGGGGACTGTTGCCATCGAAGCCTCTGGCTCTAACTAAGTTTGCGAGTTGAAAACCAAAAAGAAAGCGCGACCGAAGTTCGGGCACAGCAGACACCCAACACCGGCGAAGCCTATCATCCGGGACTTTCACTCTTTTTACACAATCAGAAAGGGGGAAAGCGCCGGTAGCCCTTTCCCCTTTTCTCTCTCGCCCTCTTTCAGTAAAACGGTCTATTAGCCCCGAGAAGTTCGCCTGGCGCCCCCTTACGGCGAACCGGGGTGACGTCACGGCGAGGAGAGAATTTTTCCCCGACTCGCCCCGCTCGCCCTGTGGACGCTGTGACGACGCTAGCTGTCGGCGCGCTCGTTTCTATTTAATTTTTTTTTGGCGTGCTTTTCGTAGGAAGTGTAAATTTTTATATACGCCTTTATTGAGGTATGGCCTGTAGCTACAGGCGAAACTTCAACGAACATTTTAAGCATGGCTGACAGGCCAGGCAACGCATGAACCACAGCTGGTATGTGAAAATAAAGAAATATGGCCACAATTGCAGGGGCATCACTACAGATTTACATCTCGCACAATAAACGCTGCTGATGGTCCGAATGAATTGGCAGGTTATGTATACTATTTTTTTTTTTTTTTGTATCTCTGTCTTTAAACAAGATCGCCGAAGCAGAAAAGCTGCATGCTGCTCGAGCAACGTGCTGAATACAGTCTCGGCCATGGGGAGAGAATCACAAGTAAGACAGCCCAAGTGCAGGGGCAAAGTAAAAAAAACGAACAAGGAACATTTATTATATACATTGCTCGCACTTGACCTTTGCTGGATTCGGATAGTATTTCCATGGACTACATGGGTGGTATCTGTGGACTTGTTTATATCAATCCTCAAGTAATATATAACAAACGTAAGTTAAGGTGTCTAGCTCGTTATTAGTCCATTAAGCCCTAAAATTTAGATTTTACTTAAATCGAATTGTCCTGAAGCTAAAGTACCAGAAGCTTTTCTCACGCAGACTGTCGCCCTTCACAGGTTCCAAATTTTCTGCTACCAGTGCTGCATCAACCACTGGACAGACGTTCGAATGCTTGCTTTTACTCCTGTTTTCCTCTGTTGTCAGAGAGTCCAGTTGCAGGGAGTTTGGAGGCTGAGGAAGCTTTTGGGGACCTGCGGCAGTGACTCTTAAATGGAAATGACAATTCAGACTTAACGGTGTATTTTCCGAATACCAAAGGCTGGAATAAAGAATGTCAGGAAAAAGCATAAACATTCCAAATTACGGCACTATTGCTGTGCATATTTTGGGCAGTTTACTGCATATCATAGAGGCGACTGGGGAAATTCGGCCGTTTTTGCTGCTACCATACAAACTAATTTCCAGTAATTGTGAATCCTCTAAGAAATATGCCTGCATACGCGTATAAACTATATAATTAATTCAGGAAGAAGCTACATTTATGTAAAACAACCCTGTTTCATGAGCACTTCAAAGATCATCAGACGCAGGGCCTTTAAAACATCTGCAAACCAGCGCATGCAGAGTGGCAGCGCAGAGTCGGCCACTCTGCACCCCCCAAGCCTCTCAAGATTGCCTTGCGTCGTGTGGACGGACGGGGAGGTTCATCGGCGCAATTGCCTCCGCCGATAGTTTTCGGGATTTGTAACCGAATTTTTAAGGTAAAAGGGACAAGCAGGCTTATAAAATGTACGGAAGCACGTTAATATCGGCCTAACTCAACGTCTTGTACACCGGGTGAACGAAGTCCGGCTCCTCGAAGAGCTTGCGGCACACAACGCCAAACCAGGAAACTGGTGCTGGGAAGCGACCCGATGCGAGATCGCGGAGCGGGGTACTCGGCCTGACGTCACGGCACACCTCACCCAATCAGGGCGCGGCGACCGCAGCGACGCTTGTGTTCGCTCTCGGGGCTAATAGACCTTTTCCACAAGGGCGCCGCCATCTTGAATTGACGTCACTTCCAGTATGGGCGAAAACGTAACTTTGCCGTTGCCACGCCAATAGAAGACATTTAGGATATAAGCCTAACCGTCACACATTCTCGTTTTGGCTCGCCTCTATTTTTTTACTAGTTACAGGTTGAAACGTTTTACTTTTTTTTCGTCGCCCATACTGGAAGTGACGACAATTCAAGATGGCGGCGCCCTTGTGGAAAAGGTCTATAGTGACTACGACCATTTTCAAAATGTCACAAAAGGAGCCAACGCTCCAACTACCCTAGCCTCTTTGTGAGTCAGCTTTTTGCGAGCATTTAGAAAATGGTAACAGTCTTCCTTTCTTCTTCCTGTCTGACCCGAGCAGGACGCATCGTATCTCAAGCAGATATTTTTACAAATAAAACATAATGGTGGCTGACGTAGACTTGATATTCTGGGCTTGAGGAGAGAGTGAAATTCGTGAGTTGGGCCTTTGCTGCCCGTGGCATCAGTGGACGTCTATCTGGAGAACACCGGAGTAAACTGCAGTCGGTTCGTGCTTCGTGCGTTTTTGAACGGCACCAAGAAAGGTACAGACGGCGAACGTGCGTTTACATTTCCCTCTTTTAACCGTCGTTCTAATTAATTGTTGTTATGAGTGTCCTTTTTGTTTTATTACTTATATTTATATACTGGAAACTTTTTTTTTATTCACCAACGTCTCAAGTGAGGCTCGAACTGTTCAGAACCAAAGGAAGAAGAATATCGAGCCAAACCTTATTTATTATTTAATTATCACGTTACAACTATGTTTTGCTATTGATGACTTCTATAGCTTCGTGATTTAGAGAATGGAGAATTTTAGTAGATCGGTCCGATGACTCCGATAACGATATCCGATACTTCGCCGCGGTCTTTGCGTATGCATAATATCATTAGGGAATTGTAGTAGACCGTTCCCGCAGCCCGCTAAGCGCCCGGATAGCGCTACGTAATCCGCCACAAGACCTTGAACTATGCAGACAAGGCTGGCGGCGCGCATGCGCAGCTGCGGCGTTTTCTTCGGGGATAGCGCAGCGGAGAAGGAAAACGATCTACTACAACTCCCTACTATCGGGTACCGTTATTGCGGGTATAGGAGGTATCGGAAGGGTCTACTAAATCTCTCGAATAGCAAGCAACGGCTGCAACGACGAAGCTTTGCTCTACATTCGAGGTAATTAGTACTTCCCTTGCTTCGCTGAAAAAGCTCAATGCAGAGCATGAAGCATTCGTGAGGAACAATATGCCACTACCATCCAGTGCCTCAGGCCCTCAGCTCAAATGGTGTTCAGCGTAGCAGTCGACATATTGTGTAAGAGATAATGCAAAATATCTGACGAGACATTCGAGAGCCAGCTGTTTCTCAAAATACTCAAGGTCATTAAATGAAACAGGTGGCAAGACTAAGAACTTGAATAACCCTCTTCCCTTTGTTTTTTTACCTGAGGACAATAATGTTAAATGTAACGCCACGAAAGTAACGGATTACTTTTTGGGGTAACGGTCAGTTACTTTTATGGCAGGGTAATTGTAATTGTAATAAATTACAATTTAGCCTTGAGTAATTGTAAATGTAATTCCTTACTATTTTTCAGTAACGTGTACAAGTCTGTTCAAAACTGACCGCTAAATACGATGCTGCTATTACACGATGCCCATTTTCCGCAACAACGTTTGTACAAATGCAAAAAAAGAAAAAAAAAAAGTTGACTTAGAAAAGAAGCGAGAGGTGGATAAATTGCTTTCTATCCCTCCGACAGGTTTCCTGGAACGTGATGAAACACTCTTCCGCCATTGTGATCCCTGTGTCCGCGCGCCGGAGTGAATCAACGTTGACCGGAAAAATAGTAATGGCGCGTTCGTTCTCGTCCCGCGCTCGACGCCAGTGTGTCGTCAGCGGAGCCCGTGCAATGCAGCGGGCGACCATATCCAGCCGCCGGGCAAGGGTCGTCCTCCTAAACGGTTTCGAACGTCGACGCCGGCGAAGCGAGAGCCGCTTGCCCCACGAGCCTCAAGGCCGCCACTTCGACATTTTCATTGAGGGAAACCGTGACAAAGAAAAACAAGCTTTTGTGGTGCCCCATTCCGCCGCTCGCTGGAGGGACGTCGTCTGCTTCTCAGAGCGTCGTCTGCTATTTGAAGACCACCTGCGAGCAGAACCTCAGAGAATTCGAGCAAACGTCGAGACGAACTGATATGGCGTGTGTTTAGGGAGATATCATAACGTGTGGGCTTTTTTATTGGGATTAACCGTGACAAAGAGCACACTTATGCTCCCTGTTCCTTCGCTCGTTGAAGGAAAGTCGTTTGCCTTTTAAAGGCCACCAGCGAACATAGGGCAAGCATCGAGCAAACATCGCAGCGGGCTGATGTTACGTTCACACAGATTTCATATCGCATCGACATTTTTTTTATTGAGAGAAACCTTGGCAAAGGGAATAATAGTTGATTCTGCGGTTCTCTGAGAGGACGTCGTCTGTTACCGAGCGCGTCGTCTGCCTTTTCAAGATCGGCTGCGGACACCAGCGTCGAGAATTCGAGCGAATCTGCGGCACGGGACGGGCTGAACTGATGGCGCTCGTTCCCACATATCACATAGTATCGACATTTTCATTGCGTGAAACCCTTTCACCCGCGCGCTGGAAGGACGTCGTCTGCTATCGAGCGCGTCGTCTGCTCTTTCAAGACCACCTGCGCTTCGAAAACTCCAGCAAACATCGGGTGCCGGAGGGACTGACGGCGCGCGTCCGCGGAGGAAATGTCACCGCGTCTCAAAATCTAGTCGACTTCAAGGGGAAAGTCGCGTCCAACTCGACCCGCGAACGTCGAATCCAGCGCCCGGCGAACGCGGTTGTTGGGGCGAGGCTCTCGCAGGCGGCGCTACAGGGGCCGCGGTGGCCCGCTGCCACAGAGGCCTAGTTCCGGCTCCGTCCGCGGCGCGCCGCTCGGCGCGTCTCCCGGCGTCGGCCTCCGATTGGTCGGCGGCGCTTGCCCTACTTAGGCTGCCGCCCCGAGCCATCGCCGTGGAAAAGCGTTCGCCGTGTGTTCTCGGCGCGGTCGCTCACATCGGACTCGTACCCGAGGGGCTTTTCACCCTGCGTTTGTAGACGCCGACGACCCCTTGACCACCCGTGCGTCGTTGCCCCGCGGTCAGGACCCCTTCCGCCGACCAGCCCCGAACGTACACACTCGCACCGCAGGCCACCGCCGCGCAAGCCTTGGATTTGAAACCAAAGTGTGCTGTGTGTTGTGTCTGCCGCCGCCGTGTCGGAGCGGCGCCCAAAGTAGGCTTACCGGCGGCCGTCGCGTCGTCGGGCTCCTCGGGAATTTGGTGTGCCCGCTCGTTCGGATCTTGGGCGACGCACTCGAACCCGTGCTTCGTCGGGAACGTTTTGAACCGACACCGGATCATCCTGGCGACCGCCTCACGGTAAGTGTCGGCGGGGAACGGGGATCGGGCGACCGCGCACATGGCCGGCTGTCTCTCGCTCGACCGGGCGTCGCTCGGGAGACGCCGCTCGTACTCGTCGCCGGCGTCGTCGCCGGCGCGCGGGGTTCTCGGCGCCGGTGCCTCTCGTCGGTGCGCGGCGGCGACTCCAGGGTGGGGCGGGTTCGGGGTCGCGGGTCGTCGCGTCCCGTCCGCGATCGCTCGGTGATGTAACCGCGAGCGCGCACAAGCGGCCGCGGTGCCTGACCCTAATTTTGAAGGCCGGTCAGTCGCAGTGGGTGACCCCTCGGAAGGTCGCCTCGTCCGCGCATGCGCAAAACCCCGTGTTGCCGCGCGGCTCGGTTTTTGTGTCGTCTGTCAGCGCAAGGCCCCGGGCCTCTCACACAGACCCGGGGTTTGAACACTCGCCTTTTTTCTTTTTTTGAACCGTTTTCGTGTTTGTCTCCGGCTTTCTTGACTCACCTTTCTTACTTTGGGTCTTCCTTTTTCTTTTTTTTCCTTTTCCACCTGGTTTGTGCTGTTTCTTTTTCTCTCTTCCCTCCTATTTCCAACTGCACCCCCTCAACACGGGGTTTGGACTCAACGTTTTTCTCATCGTTGTCGTATTTTCAAGCCACGTTATTTTCTCTTATCTTCTTTTCTTTTTTTGTGTGAAAGCTTTCGCCAATTATTCGGATCGGGTGCTACGCTTCGCTTCTTATCGCCGAGGCCGTGTTCCAGTCGCTCTTCGCCTGGTTACGTTGTCGGTTACGAATCCGACCGCGTTTCTAGGACAAGTAGCTCCGAGCCACGTTCCGTCGTGCCGCCAGCCCGTTTTTCGACGTGCGGGTGCGTCGGTTACTCGATCCGTTTATGTAACGTCGCGTCGCCCGTGCCGCTAGCCTATATTTTATTGTAACCCATCGAGGTATTTTTTTTTTCTTTTTCGCTTGGTGGCAGTTTTTGTCATTCGCGCCCGTGGCAGTGGGGAGCTACACAGGTTCCCTCCTCGTCGAATACACCTGTCGTTGTCTGCTTTGGCCGCCTGTGTACATTGAAGCTTGACTAGGTTTAGACATGCTGGTTTGGGTTACAGACGATCGAAAGCCAGGACCGTATTTGCATTGCGAATTTCTAATAGGACTGTGCGTGTGTGTGCAACTTTTAGCAATGCTGTTTCTTGAACTCTATCGCTTCTCTGCATTCTCTCAAGGTTCAGCGAACGTTCTTGTAATTTCGGTTTCGCCCGCGCTTATGGTCAAATAGCATCTAGATTTTCGTCGTCGGTTTCTGTTGTCAATGCAGTCTAACTACAGCAGTTATTTGACACACTTACACACACACGCGAAGCCGTTATTTGACACACTTGAAACCGTGGGCGCCAGTTAGCGAGAGATCAGGTTAGTGTAACGCCAAGTAGGGCACCTGTAAATAGTGTAGGTAGGTTATTGAGATTTTATCGGTGGTACTACGTCATTTTGTAGCATGTTTTTGTACGACGTGACGAAGCTTTGGAAGGCAACACGCTTTACGAGTCTCTCTGCTTTACCGGCTGCCGATAGCTGGTTTGATGACGGTGGAGTCATACTTTATTCAGTACGCGCGTCAGCGCCTCAGGCCCTCGACATAGTGAAGCAAATTGCGTTAGCGAACACTCCGTTCAGCCGATTGCGTTAATGGGGAGTTTTCGTCGGCCGCGTTTCCCCCTCCGCTAAGCCCCCCGCAACGAAGAAGCCGCTACTGCGCCTGCGCGCCAATGGCCTTGACTGTAGAGTGCCGGGTGGCGTTGCGGAGGGCGTTGCGGGACGGCCAAGACGATCTACCAAAACTCCCTATTCCCAAAAATCCGTGCCACGGGGAGGCGGAGCGAGTCAACACCACATAGAACAGTGGCTTCAAATTTATTTGAGTGTGGGCGCCAGATAGCCCACACCGGAAAGGTCGAGGGCCAACGTAAGAAGGGGGGTATAAAGATTTAGGAAAGAAGAGGCCTCGTGCTCTGCTTTTGTGTAGACTCACAGCTTTTCCAGTCGTTCCCCATGATCAGCGAGCGAGCTCTACCTTCAGGGAACGAAAATGGGGTGCGTCCATTTGTCTTGTCATAACTTTGCACCATTTGGGGGATTGTCCCTGCATCGTTACTTGTGAACGAAACGCTAATACGTGTGCGGTCTAAAGTGTAACCCACCATGGTAAGAGAGCTGTATAGGAGGTACCCCCGCCGACATTACAAGCTAAAACACCCGATCCGCACTTATTTTTGTGCTTGCGTGTTTCGTTTTTTTAGCTCTAATATCTCTAAATATGTCACTTAGTCCGAAGTATGGGACTTCGCATTCCATTCCTAAGCACGAAGGACTGTTTCAGCTTGTATTGCCCGCGACAGTTCAGGGTTCACGCCGGAGCAGCACGGAAGCCATGCGGGGAGACATTCCCGAATGTCGCGGTGTGGCAGTCGATTTCGTATATAGCTTAGCATACAGGGGACACCCCATGGGGCGTTTTGGTGTCTTTCTGCTAGCGGTAAACTGGGCCAACTCGTATTACCGCCGACGTGTGTACGGGCCCGACCTTACGACTTCCGAAAGCGCTTTCCCTGCGCGAGCAATATCGTAAACAAAGCACTTTCGCCTGAGTTGCGCTTTCGCTCCCATAAATTCGATAGCGGGGAAGCAGAGTATACACAAACAGTTTCCAGGAAACTCGTATATATTTCCGGTAGCGTTAGACGCGCGACAGCGGGGCTACTTCGCAGCTCTATGCGCTGACCCCGGGAATCGTGACAGGAGACAACGATCGCCATGTTCCCAACACTGCGGCGCAACAGATTCTGTCAGAAGTTCCCAGGTGCGTTCGTAGGGTCTCCGACACTGACACTGAAGGAAACGACAATAAAGAAAAAAAAAAAAAAAACAGAAGGCCTTCTTTCGTAGGGACACTCCGAATCGAAACAAGCGACTCCATGACTGATATTACTAGACGTGTCGTTTATTTTTAGGTACACTCACTCGTGTTGGCGCGAAAACTTTGTCGCTCGGATGGGCCTCTTGCACTGCTAAATTTGCGCGGTACAAGCCGCACCGCGCTACGGCGATGTATTAAACCCCCCCCCCCCCCCCCCCCCCCCCCCCCAAGCAGTGGCAAAAATGTCAAGAGATGGCTCTATACTTCGTTTCTTTTTGGTAGATGAAGACTTGTGCTTAGCCGCGATATGAGATTAATTTTTCCTTCTACATTGATTACGAACTCAATCGGAGATTAGTTAATTTGAATGAGAAGCTTCGGCCAGGTGGCGCAAGCCGCCGTCCGATTTCAAGGGTCCAGTCGTATGACTCGTATCCATCCATCCTCGAGTCCGGGCGACGACGACACGACGGGTTCAATCAACAATGTCAAACAATCAAACAAAGCCTTCCCTGTACATGGTTGGTTCAGCGATGGTAGAGCACGTTAGAAACATGATGAACGCCACGTTGACGCGCTTTGGACCCTGTATAATTAATACTCAACTCGTACAAAAAAAAAAAAAAAAAGTTGTAGAATATAAAAAGAAAGGGAAAGTTGTAGGTTGGAGCAAGCAATTAAACTAAGACCAGTACCGAGAAAGGATTTACCAGGTAAGATACGGTACGAATAATGAGATTGCCTACTGTGAAACTGCGTTATTAGTAACGTTACTTCAATCACATAGTTTGCGAGAAAAAAAATTAATACGCCGTCCAAAAGCAGTTATTGTTACTTCATGCCCGAAGAAAAAGCCCTCCAGCAGGGAAGTCTCGTTTATAACGCCCGTTAATTAATTCGTACAATACGTTTAATCGTGAATGGCTATTTCTTTGAGATAACGACGATAAGTTGGCTCCCGTTAAAAGTTAAGTTATTGAAGTGTGTTCATTGCTATTGTGAGTGACGGTGAGCGGCATGTGTTGGTATAAAGGTAGAATCGAGCGTCCTTTTTTGCTTGTTTCTGAATAAAGAAAAAAAGTATTTATGACGCGTTCCCTTTGACTGTAGCAACGAGGAGCCTTGGGGATGTCGCGCACCAGCCGAAATTCGAGGTCGACTTTTTCGACCTTTCATCTCGAAGTTGGACAGAAGTCCAACTTTATCTTTCGAACAGAAGTTGGACACATGTTAGACTTTTGTGCGCACGCGCGTAGATTGAAGACGAGCCGATGGCACTTGGTGGAGGAGAGGTGCAGCATTTTAGCTAGTTGAATACCCATCAATTTTCCTCATAAAAAAAAAAAAAAAAATAATATATGCAAGATCGTCGAACTTCATCGAATTTTACCAAAAGGTCGATGCTTCGCCTAATCGGTCTAACCTTAGAGGAGGAGTAGTTCGCTAAGTTCCTTATGAGGATCATTGCTACTGCGGCGATCTAGCACCACCCAGAACAGTGAGAATCCCGTGTGCTGGAATTTCGACGTCGTCAAGGTCGAGCCAAAAAAGGAGCATTTTACGCACGAGCGCTGCGCCGACGTTCGACTGGACCACACGTTTAATGAGTGCATCGAAAGACGCTCGGTTTCAGATTCCGTGTGGGGTGAGATGGATGTTCGCGGGCTTCGATTATTCTAGGTGTTGGGCTATCCCATCTTCTTGCGTGTCATGCTGTCGGATGTTGCGATCCTCGCGGTTGGCCGTAGAAGTACTGGCGAAAAGGGCGCCAGCCGCAAGGGCCCTCGTCGTCACGGCGTGCCCCGGTTTCCACCGCCAGGATAACGGCAGGCCACAGCATGGCACTTGCACGACGTCAGCAGACGGAAATGGAGGGGCTACTTTTGTTGGAAGACGCGACCAGAGAAGACGCGCTCCAGGCACCATGGTAAAGCTTCGCCCTGTGCCCAGTGACGGCCTATCACCCGTTTGTCTTGGCCCGAACGCAACGTCTCTATGGGAGCCCCGTTTTTATCAGCTTGTGACAGCCGGCTTGTTACACATTATCGAACGACGTGTTTCGTAACAACGCCGTCCGTGCTTTCGTGCCCGCGCCCGTT